TTTCTTTTTTAGAAAAACGTTACCCCCACACTAGGATTTTCTTCTGTATCGTGGAGGCAGTTTACAAACACAAATTGCACAAGCACAAACATCCAGACCCGGAGCAATTATTTGCAGGCCATACAAATACTTGTTCTATGCGGGATTCGAACCCGCGGCTCCCAGCGCAGCAACTCATTGCTAAGCCACTGCGCCACGGAGCCGTCTAAATTTTTTTAATTTGTCTTAACCTTGTGGTTACTGCCATGTCTTCACTAAAGACATGGCAGTAACCAAAATTCAATATGGCGACAATTAGACGCCATATTGTTAAAAAGAAAAAAAAAATTAAGTCGACGAACTATGTCAAGTCGGGTATTGTTGAATAGGTCTTTGAAAATAATTTTTCAATTTGAGTGACCATTAAGGATCTATAACGATTTGACGTCGGTTAGCAACCCTTCTTACATAAAATTTCCAAACTTATAATAAAGCTGTGATAAAGTTCTTATATGATCGTAAAATAAGTCTTATTAGTAAATTATTAACGCAGTCGGGATTTTTAAAACAGTATTTAACCAAGGCTTGTTAAAATCGTGGATGTGGGTCCCACAGTAAAAGCCGTATGTCTTAATTTTTGCTAACTTATGAGAACGGTGTAAGCAGTTTTGTTTTTAACCGATTTCAAAAAGGAGGAGGTTCTTAATTGGTCGGAATCATATCTTTGATGTATGTTCACTGATTACTCGAAAACGCCTGAACCGATTTAGAGAATTATTTTTTTATTTGAAATTTGGTGCTTTTTATGTGGTCCTATATAAGTCTGACCAAAAGTTTATGAGTTATCCTTCCTTCCTTAATTTATATTGAAGTCGATTATACAAAATTTTCAATTTTACCACTTGTGGTATTGTAAATTCGAAATTTTACTTTAGTTTTAAATGTTTGCAGTAATACATAAAAAAATCTGATGTTTGAAATGCTTTCAAGAGATAACATTCTCTTTTGCATTACTTAGTTTGTTTATGACAAATACTTTTTATGGACATTCCAAATATCTGTCCGTAGGAAAAATTAACCATGCAAATACTTGAGATAAGGAAATATCGGCATCTAGAACCGTCTTTGTGGTGTGTTTTTTTAAATAAAATTGACGTGGCATACGAACATGGGACACCTGCGGCGAACTTCAAAGCACTGCTGCGTTCTGGTCTTAGAGTATAGAGTGTCAGTATAAATTCATGTTGAGGGTATTCCATCTAAGTCTTCAGAGGTAACAACGCATCTGTAGCCTTAGGTGTCCATGGCTGTAGTAGCCAATTGTTATCATCATTATCATCGTTACAGCCTTTCACAAGTCCACTCCTGAACATATGTCTCTCCCAAGGAATGCCACAAAGCACGCTTCTGAGCCACCTACATCCATCCACTGTCTGCATGTCTTACCAGGTAGTCACTCCATCTAGTGGGGGTTGCGCTACACTTCTCCTACTGGTACGAGCCTGCCATTCGAGAACCTTTTTCCCCATCGGTTGTCATTTCTTCGAGCTATATGGCCGGCCCATTGCCACTATTGGTTCTACTGCGGATATCCTCATTCCTACGTTTATCACGCAAAAAAAAACCCAAGCATAGCCCTTTAAATAGCTCGCTGAGCGACGTTGCGCAATCTCATACGGCCAGCAGTGAAGGACCACGTCTCAGATCCATAAGTCGTCACTGGCAACCCGCACTGGTTGTACAATTTCGTTTTCAGGTTCTGAGGTATTTCATCAGGTCGACTGTAAATACGTTTGTCGCTTTAACTTTAATAAAAAATACTTCTACCTTGTAGTTATTTATTCCATTACTTTTAGTAAGACGTGTACAACATGACTATAGTTATAATAATGTCTCAGGCCGTATTTTGGTCATGGGGGCCTCAATGAAGTTTAGCCATCGGCACAGGACAGGATTAAAGTGCCCAAGTGTATGCGCAAGCACAGGTGCACTCTCTATTGCCTCACTCTCATAGTCCGATGGGATGGTAACACGACCAGAGAGAGATCAGGCGCAGGACCAACGGCTTTACGTTCTTTCCGAGGCTGCTTTTTGAGAATTTCTAGATGGAAAAACTCAATAACTGATTTATGTCTGTAGTACTGCCGTGCGGTAATGGTCCTTACTCAATGTGAGATAAGGACAGCCCACAGCGTTGGTTTTTAAGTGAATTCTACTTTTTAACAGACTTCAAAAAGAAGGAGGTTCTCAATTCGAGTGTATGTTTTTTGTATGTATGGTACGAGATATTATCGCAGATTGTGAATTAATTTTGATGATTCTTTCTTTTTTATTAAATAGGCTATACTTCAAGGGTGGTCCCATATAAAATTGGAGAAAAAAATTCACTCCTAAGGGTAGCAAATAAATATATAATAACTTCTTTTTTTTTTTGCAATTTGAAGTCAGTTTTTACTTTTTGTTTATAGTTATAATTATTTTGACCTATAACCTATAACTAGAGTGACAAAAATAAAAATAATTGTATTAATCCGTGTAGTGACGGAGTAAAAGAAACCACTACTTATCCCAAATCGCCCCGAAACTAGAACAGGTGATGTGCAACAGCATCTTCCCGATTTACGTGGTAGAGCCATGCTGCAGCTATATTAATAGTATAGTTGTAGCACGAATGGGTCGGCTCGACCGGGGAAGAACCACGCTCTCACAGAATACCAGCGTAAAATAGCAGCTTAATGCTGCTGTGTTTCGTATGGTGAGTGTAGAGAACCGGAGACCCATTTTACTGGAAAAGAGGCATTCCATCTTAGTCCTCAGGGGTGACAATGCATCTGCATTTTGATTCGCAAACGAAGATAGATGTAGATGTCTATGGGCCGCAGCAACCACTTACCATCAGGTGGACTGTGTGCTCGTTTGTCACCCTTATTCTATAAAAAAAAAAACAACCCGAAATAATGAAAAAATCCAAAAAGGGTCGACTCCATACCACTTCTAAGTGAAATAAATTTCAAATGCCAAAGGATAAGTGCTAGAAAGAAACTTTTATTTTGTACGTCTACTATGCGCACTAAATATGGCAAGAACAATTTTATAACTCGTGCATATAAATTTTATAATAACATCTTTTCACATGTTGATGTATTTTCTCTCTCATATGGACAGTTTAAAAAGGAAATTGAAGCTGTAATGGGTAAGAGTTAAAATTAATATTTCACTTTAATATTACACTTTACTTTAACTTAACTTTAGTTTTACACACCAAAGTATGTGATAATGTTCGCTTGTTGTCGATGACTTTATTGTTAAATGTAAGATTAATATGTGTTATGTATTACACTAAAATTATGTATGTTTCCCTTGAAAATAAAAATAAATAAATACAAAAAACTGACCGGTGGCTGTCAAGCTTAGCAACTATGGCAAATATGGCAATATTTGAGAGCACCGTACGTTGAGTAGTAGACTTTTGATAGGCTATTATAAAAAATAATTCAATATTATAAAGCTATAAGCGATCGCTCTAAAATTCACAGTAGGTACCCTACACGGGTTTCATCCTAAATGAAATTGCTAAGCTCATTGAGTTATATGTACTACGTACTAGAGAAGCCATTCCGAACATTGACTATGTTCAACTGAACTGTAGTGCAATCCATACAAACTAAATATTGCGTAAATTGAAGATTTGTGAATTCCATAAAATAATTATTATTACATTTTATTTAGAAATATTATTGTTTAGATTAAATTAAGATATTTTATATTAAATTCTTATATTTATTTTATATTAATATCTTATTTTATATCAAATTAAAGTCTTCGCGCATGCGCGACTACTACTCCCGCGCATGCGCGAATACATAGAGTAGGACACAATTTTTGTTTGTAATGGCTTCTCTAGTACGTAGTACATATAACTCAATGGCTAAGCTGAAATTTTTGTGTCGCTTTACCACGTATTGAGCGGTGAAGGAAAACATGGTGAGGAAACCTTGATGTCTGAGAAATTGAAAAGCTTAGTTAAGGCAAAATTACATAATAATTTATTTCTAAAAATAGGTAATGTTTAAACACTGCCCACCAATGTCTGTTTAGGGCTGATCATCCTATCATCAGATAAAAGTTTTTTTTCTTTGTTAATGGCTCTTACTGGTTGTACATTTGCCAGTGTCAAAAGATTATCTATTAATATAATTTGTTACAAAATAAAAATATTTTCACAATATGTTGATGGGTCATATTGTGTTTATATTTTATAAGTTTTTGACAGATTTTGATGGGTGCCTCAATCAGCAAATAATCAATGACAATAGTATCTCAAGGTGCCAAAGCAGACACAATAACTTGAGTTACACATCACCATCAGAGCACTTGCTCCAACGTTCCCACTAACAGTTAACATGACATTTAATATACAAAATCGCACTATTTTTAATTGTCAAAACCCACTTCAATCCTTTATTCAAACGAAAAAACAGGAGCAGCAATCCATCAACGGTCAAGTTCCCGCCAAAACAAAGTAATAGTTATCCATCAAATAAACTATAACTTGGCTGGATATTAAAGTGAAACAATTTAATTATTTTATTAATACAACTGTGATTTCTAGTTTTCTTTTTTTGATATTTTACTTTACCATATGAATAATTATTATCTGCGGATTAAAAAATCAGCCCTTAAATGGTAATAATAAAAAAAAACAATTGTATCATTAATAAATTAAATTAAAAATTAAAAAAAAAAACAAAAACAACAAAAAGAGCGGGTGATCTTCAAACGGCTGAACAGATTTTCTTCAAACATATCTAAGAACACTCTCGATTAAGACACCTTTCAAACGAAAAAAACTTAATCATAGTCAGTTCATCAGTTCAGGAGTTATGATGCCACAGACTGACACACAGACACACAGATATACACTACAAATTTACAATACCCCTCTGTTTTCGTGGAGGTTAAAAATAACAGTCATCAAAGGGACTTTGTGCTTTTTCACTCATTAAAACAAATGCTTTCAATCATTTAGCGGCGTTTGTACAGTAATTTGTGTTGTCTTCGAAGAATTTTCTCTTCAAGTTTACAACGACACAAAGACCTGTGCTCACGGTTGATTTTAGGAAGTACGAGATGTTAAATAGTGCACCCAGTAGTCCTATCGCCAGTGGTGAGGATATGGATGAAGCGGCGCTCTTGTATACGACTCGGTTGGTCGGCTGCAATCTTCGATAGTTGTCCACGCCACCAACGTTTACTTGACGAATCATTTTGTACTAAAACAAAGATTAGATTAGTTTGTTGTTGTGATGTTCTAAGTACCTACTGTTGATTCTATCATGGAATAACATTGGGAATATAGTTAAATTAATTTTTACTGGAAACGAGGCATTCCATCAAAATACACATGCGTTGTCATCCCTAAGGACTAACTTAGTACAAATAACTTAATAAGTAACTTAGTACAAATTTTTTAATTTTAAATTATAATTTATTACTTATTCAAAGTAAGTAAAATTTGATAAAATCCAATGTGTCACTGGGTATTTTAACTATATTAGCATGTGGTGCATTCTGTTTATACAATGTTCTAGCGATTGACTAAATGAGATATAATCCATCCGAAACTGTCACACCTGTATCCCATTGATTGGTGGAGAGTTACAATATTAGTAATGTAAATATCGGCTCAAATCTTAACAATCCTAACCTCATGAGTATTATGAAATTTTTCGCATCTACCATGGGGAGTGCTCTGAGCAATTGTTCGGATTAATCCCAGCCGCCAAATTTCACGAACGCATATCGCGGCAGAACTCCCGATACCATCCACACCATCTGGATGATTGGCGGTCCAACACTGTGCGATTTAGAAGATGTTTTCTTCCTCGCACGACAACCTTGTGGAATCGATTACCATCAGCGATTTTTCCGGACCGATACGACTTAGGGACCTTTAAGAAAAGAGCGTACTCCTTTTTAAAAGGCCGGCAACGCATCTGCAATTCCCTCCCTGGTGTTGCAGTTGTTCATGGGCGGCGGTAGTCACTTACCATCAGGTGAGCCGCATGCTCGTTTGGCCCCTCTCATATAAAAAAAATGAAACATTATCTTTTTTATAAAACCGATGTGACAGATGACAAACAAGGAAGTTATTCAGTCTAGTTAGTTGTTACATTTTAAAAGGTCTATAATAGATTAGCGATTCACTCTGGCTTCGCACGGCTGATTTCTGGATCTTGAAAACAGCGCCACCTACCTGGTTCAATTGTGAATCTAAACAAACCAGGGACCCACTAAAACACACAAAATTCAAAATCTATATATATATATATATATATATATATATATATATATATTTATATATATACTGTACTATACTATAGCTGGCCAGGCAGACGTTGTTATTAATTATTGAGGGTCACTTATAGGGATAAAAACTATCCTATCTCTCAAGTTGGACCAAAATGCACACAGTGTGCAAAATTTCTTTTAAATCAGTTTAGTAGTTTAGGAGTCCATCGCGGACAAACAACGTGACACGAAATTTTTATATATAAAGATAAATAAAGGTTTGTTAATTTGGTTGAGTGGTCTAAGGTTAATGGAGAGGAAGTGTATAAAACTTACTTGAGAGTCGGATATGCTGATGGGATGGTCCATGACAATCCATGTGACCACTTCCTGGCAATCAGGCGTCGTCAAGGAACCGTTGTATGTGTAGTAGGACTGTTGCTGCGGACTCAGGAGGCGACTGTTGACATAAATATGACCTTAGTGTGTGGATAGGTGACCGTGTAGTGGAGGTGTACAAATATCTTATATCTGTATTTAATATATTTAAAATGAGCTGTCGTTGCATTTCTTTAAATAGTAATTATACAACATAATATTACATAATTAACTAATAATTAACCACGTGCTCGGCGGTGAAGGAAAACATCGTGAGGAAATCTGTATGTCTGCGAAAATTAGAAAAAAAATATTTCGAAGACATGTGAAGTTGGTCAACACGCATTGTTGTAGCGAGGCGGTCATTTCCTTGCCCTAAAACCCTTTCAGAAATGAGAGCAGGTCTGAACCCAGCAGTGGGACGTATAGGTGTAACTTTTGACTGACCTTTCCATTTTACATACAATTAAACGTTATTTGAAGGTGACCTCGCGTTAAATTGCAGATTAATTATGTTTATGCAGCCGTTTTAAATAAATGTTCGATACAAAAGTTTATTAAAATTGTTTATTCCGAAACCAAACGAATGATTTAAAATAAATGCAACCTGTGTAAATTAAAGCAAATAATAATTTGTTATGTAATTGTACAATTGTCTTTTTATTGTTACAACTTTTCCTTCATTTAAATTTATTTTCTACCGACTTTAAAAAGGACACGGTACTCAATTCGACTATATGTTTTTTTAATATGTGTTACCTCATAACTTTTTACCGGGTGAACTTATTTCGATGATTTTTTTATAGGATAAGGGTGACAAAAGAGCGCACAGTCCACCTGATGGTAAGTGGTTGCTGTGGCCCATAGACATCTACATTTATCCTCGATTACGAATCAAAATGCAGACGCGTTGTCACCCGTGAGGACTAAGATTGAATGCCTCGTTTCCAGTAAAAAGGGTCTCCGGTTCTCTACACTCACCATACGAAACACAGCAGCATTAAGCTGCTATTTTACGCTGGTATTCTGTGAGAGCGTGGTCCTTCTCCGGTCGAGCCGACCCATTCGTGTTACAACTATACCAGAAATATAGCTGCAGCATGGCTCTACTACGTATTAAATTTTTTATTTGACAGCTGGTGCTTCACATGTGATCGAGCTCTAACCAATAGTTTTTGAGTTATTCTTAATAATTTATACTGAAGTCGGTTGTACAACATTTTTAATTTTAAATTATTACTTATGAAGTTGTTTTTTTTGTTTCTAGCATTTATAAGTATTACAGTTGCCGTTACAGCCTATTACAGTCCACTGAAGAACATAGGCCTCCCCATTAGATTGCCTCATAGGTGGTATTTGTCGCGCTTGGCAAGCAAGTTGGCAACCGCAGTTACTATGGCAAATATCCCCCTATCCGAATAACCATAATAGTAAGTCGCCTCCCTCCACTGGCTACGTCTCGGTGACCTCTTTGGGGAAACCGAGGGTTTTGTCTGTGCAATACAAGATCAGGTTATTAAGACCAAGAACATAAAATGACCGCGCCAGGCTCTACATGGAACGGGCCGTCATCACAGACAGGACTATTCTTGCGAATAAGCCTGATATTGTGCTGATGGATTGGGCACAGTCAAAGATTTTTTTGGTCGACATTACCGTTTCGTATGACGAGAACCTCGTGAAAGCCGAAACATACAAATGTACAAAATATCTGGACCTGGCTCACGAGGTGACTGACATGCGGGGCGGACTACCGGCCGGGTTGTACCGGTTGGGTTTTTATTTATTTATGTATTTTTTATGTATTTATTTTATTTTCTTGATATTTATGTGTGTTTATCATTTTCATATACAGTTATATATTTAAACAGCCCAACCAGATGAGAAAAAGATACCCCTCATAATAAGAATATCCTATATTCGAAGCAATCTGTTGTTGAGGCTTAGGCTTAGCCTTTCCTGGTCACAACATCTTCTTGCAAACCACACTTTTCTCTTATCATACAATTTCTCACTCTGTCATTCAGATTCAGTCCTAATATATCTACTCTTTAATGACCACATTTCTACAATATTTATTCTACTCTCGTGCTTTTTCTACTACACCCAGCTTTCACTACCATACTTTAAGGTAGGGACTGACACAGCATTGTGAATTACTATACGTGCCTCTTTTGACACACTAAAAGGATCTACTTACGACAAATTCAATGTGGAGGTGAAGCCGGGCCCCGATGTTGAGTTGTAGAGCTCTGGTAACACGGCCTCTATCTGTTGCAGACTGTACCCGCTGTTCTCACCAGCATGAACCTGACAGAATGATTCGTGAGGTCGCTTTAAGTTCCACGATGATGATGGTCTCCTAACTGCACCAGAAGACCTAATCACAACCGGACCGAAGGGCTCGGTGGAGTAGTGCGTAAGGGTGCGAGCCGCTGGTTCGAATCTCGCACGGAACAACTACTAGTATGATCTGATAATAATTCTAGATCTGGATGTTTGTTTATGTGAAATTTGTTTATGAAAATCTTCTTAGTTTTAATAAAGCATTAAACTTAGTCGTATTTGACCGCGTAGTGACAGTGGAAGAGTATCTACTACCCCGTATCATCCCGAGGGTGTCGTGAGAGGCGACAGAAGGAAACTGAAAGAGAAGATGGGCAGCAGCATCTTCATGATTATAATTTAAAAAAAATATAAAAAACTGCGGCTGCCAATCTAAAGGAAATTCCTCTCTATGGCGGAAGGCCTATACTCAGCAGTGGACTCGTGATGACTTGAAGTAATATTGTGATTTTATTTTATAGGATAGGGTGACAAACGAGCACACAGTCCACCTGGTGGTAAGTGGTTGCTGTGGCCCATAGACGTCTACATCTATCCACGTATGCGCATCAAAATGCAGATGCGTTTTCACCCGTGAGGACTAAGATGGAATGCCTCATTTCCAGTAAAAAGGGCCTCCGGCCACCTACACTCACCAAGCGAAACGCAGAGGTAAACCTCTACTTGGGGACTGAGATGGAATGCCTCTTTTTCAGTAAAAAGAGTCTCCGGTTCTCTACTTTCACCAAACGAAACACAGCAGTGTTAAGCTGCTATTTTACGCTGGTATTCTGTGAGAGCGTGGTCCTACCCCGGTCGAGCCAACCTACAACTATACTACTAATATAATAAGTGATCTATAGGTTTTTATTTACCATTACCGTCACCGATACAGCTTATTAGATTTGCCGTAGTTGCCACGTTTGGCAAGCGGTTAGCAACCGCAGTTTTGTATTTTAGTCGTTATTAGCAAGACGCTGCTGCCTATATCCTGATTTGTTTCCCTCTGTCCCTCTTACGACACCGACGGGATGATATGGGGTCGTGGATATTGTTACACCGTCACTACTCGGTTTTTATTTATAATAACATTAAAGTAATCAATATTTACCTGGCAAAACACAGCGATGACCGCCAAACCATCAGGTCTTTTTAAAGCTTCTTCGATTGTGAGACCAGTTTTAACGTGCAGCATGTGGATTTCCATGGGGTACCTACGGGGGATAATATGAGGTTAATATAATGTTATATAATATGAAGTCAATATATGCGAAAGCGGTGCACATCTCTGGGGCGCAGGCTCCGTACCACCTCCAAAACCATCTTGAGCGTATTTGCGAACAGGTTTGATTGTCAGTACATTAATCATTGTTATATTATGATGAGTGTAAGGACAAACAAACAAATGACTCAGATGCAGTCATATTATTGATTTTTATATTTAATGATGTTAATTTGGTAATATTTTTAAGTCTGAATAATAATTTTAATTACCAATTAATCCAAATTTCATTCCATTCTTATATGGGGCAAGATTATGTGCCTTCAAAAAAAAGGATAACGGTATCCGTCCTATTGCCGTTGGTTCCACATTTCGACGCTTAACTTCAAAATTAGCTTGCAGGTACATAATCTCTAACCTCAAGACCAAATTTCAGCCTACTCAACTAGGTTTTGGCACTAGAGGTGGCTGTGAGGCGGCGGTACATTCAGTGCGTACATTTTTAACAAACTCTGATGCAGATGTTCTTGTGAAGGTTGACCTAAGGAATGCTTTTAACTCTATCGATAGGGTAACCTTGCTGAAAGAAGTGGCTAACAATACCCCCGAAATTTATCATTACGTTTGGCAATGTTATAGTCAAAATACTAACTTGTTTTACGAAAATCATGTTATCGATTCTGCTGTTGGTGTTCAGCAGGGTGACCCTCTGGGTCCAGCACTTTTCAGTTTGGGAATTCAACCCATTATTTCAAATTTGAAATCCAAGCTGAATGTGTGGTACCTAGACGACGGTACACTGGGAGGTAGAGCAGATGACGTCTTCAGCGATCTTACTCATATTTTTCGAAATTTTAAAAATATTGGCCTTGAACCAAATAGCAATAAATGTGAAATATTTTTTTCCAATAATTTATCTACTTCTCATAGAGACACCTTAATTCAAAATTTTAATCATATTTGTCCAGGAATAAAAACTGTCAATACGGAATCACTATACCTGCTAGGTGCCCCGTTGTTTTTCGATAGTATTAAACCTGTTTTAAAAACAAAATTTGATCAGTTTTTAAACCACGTTGATAAATTGTATAAATTAAACCCCCACATAGCTCTTACTATTTTAAAATATTGTCTTCTTGTACCTAGATTTACATACTTACTCCGCTCGAGTCCAGTCTGGAAATGTTCGGATATTTTACAAAATATTGATAATAATCTTAAAATTGCTATAGAAAAAATTCTAAATTTAACTTTAAATACAACAGCCTGGACTCAAGCTACTTTACCTATAAAATATGGTGGCATTGGTGTGAGAAATCTTTCTAGCGTTGCATTGCCTGCTTTCCTTGCTTCCGTGCATAGTGTCGGTGACTTATGTAACATAATTTTAAATAATAAAGTAGACCTATGCTTTGCTACGGAGGCAGGGCAGACATGGCAAACGCTCTGTCCTGGTGAAAATATTCCACTGGAAGTTAACCAACAAAAACAGTGGGATATTCCGTTGGTACAGGGCGTGCAGAAGGATTTGTTTCATAATTTCCATAGTGACCAAGATAGGGCACGCTTTCTAGCTGTTTCGACTAAGGAATCTAGTCACTGGTTACACGCTTTACCATCAAGTAATCTCGGCACATTACTTGATAGGGAAAGCTTGCGTATTGCCGTAGGAATCCGACTAGGAGCGGCGATTTGTCAACCCCATCAGTGCCCCTGTGGTAGCAGCGTCGACAAGTTTGGGCTCCACGGACTTTCATGTAAGAAAAGCGCTGGTAGGTTTTCACGACACAGTTCTTTGAACGATGTCATCCGAAGGGCTCTTGCCTCTATAAATGTTCCCTCGGTTTTAGAGCCTTGTGGAATATTTAGAGACGATGGCAAGAGACCCGACGGTATGACATTGGTCCCATGGGAGAGAGGTAAAGCCCTAGTGTGGGATGCTACTTGCGTAGACACTCTGGCGGCCTCTCATCTCAGGGGTACCTCGTTTAAAGCCGGAGCGGCATCAGAGGCAGCTGAGCTGAGTAAGTGGCGCAAATATGAGTCTCTGAGAGATGACTACATATTTGTGCCATTTGCTGTAGAGACTATCGGTCCGTGGGGTCCACGTGCGGTGAAGTTCCTAAAGGAACTCCATCCGCGGCTGGTCGTTGCTGCTGGTGATAAGAGGGCTGGTTCTTTCCTCGCTCAAAGGCTAAGTATAGCCATTCAGCGGGGAAACGCAGCCAGCGTTCTTGGCACGATACCGCGGGAAGTAGGACTATATGATAATTAAGTTTCTAGTTTTAGTTTTTTTTTTTTTATTATTATCTTAGTTTTTAATATTGTAGATAAAATTAAGTATTATATAATATAGTGTGAATATTTTAATTTAATATAATTCAATTTTATTTTTATGTAATTCATATGTAATTCAAAATTTAAATTTCATTTCAAATGTAACTATGATCTGATGGATTGAAATAAATGATTATTATTATTATTATAATGATATTTTTTTTTATAAAATTGTAGTGATAAACGAACTTACAGTCCATCTCATATAAAATTTAGCGACTTTCAATAAGTATTATTTATAATCTATATTGAATAAAAAGTTTCTGTTTCTGTTTCAATAGATACTGCAGTCCAAGGAAATCAGCAGACAACTTCCAACAAAGACAACTACAGATGCGTTGCAAAGTCCATGGATGCAGTCAACTTTGAACTAAGAAGGTTACAGTTGCGTTGCCACCTCTTAGGAGCAAGATGGAATGCCTCACAACGTTTAATTATACCAGTTTTTTATACGCTTATAGTAATTGTTGGAGAAAAATAGTCTTTTTATAGGAGAATAGAATAGAAAAGAATACAATAATTTTTTATTCAATATAGATCACATATGTAATTCTTATTGAAAATCATTTTTTAATAATAATTCTCAGAAGGGCTAGAACCCAGAGCCGTAAAGCCAGTTTAAAAAAATCTTTTTATAGAATAAGGGTGACAAACAAGCACACAGTCCACCTGATGGTAAGTGGATGCTGTGGCCCATATACATCTAATAATCTGAAAACGCGACTGAAGACAGATCATGAGGTCCCGGATTCGAATCCCCGAGTCGGAGCAAAAAAATTTTTATTGAGTTTTTCTGGCAAATAATTCTCAGTAGCTGCCCGTAGTTAAGAAGTTCACCCCCGTCCCTCGGAAAACAGCCGTTGGTCCTGAGCCTGATCTCTCTCCGGTCATGTCGGTTTACCGTCCCATCGGTCTATGAAAGTGAGGGAATAAAGAGCACTATAATCCCGTCCTGCTCAGATGGCTAGTCTCCGTTGAGGCTGGCCCCCGTGAATTCGTTCTGGAGGACATTTTACATTATTATTGTTATTTATATTCATGCTCCCGGATTATTTTGCAATATATTTTAATAATTTTAATTTAAAAATTTTGTACAACCAACTTCAATATAAATTATTAACAATAACTCAAAAACTATAACTTAGACTTTGAGTAAATTTATATGGGACGACATGAGAAGCACCAGCTTTCAAATGAAAAAAGTTATGAGGTAACACACGTAAAAAAACATACAGTCGAATTGAGTAGCGTCTCCTTTTTGAAGTCGGTAGATAAAAAAATAACATAAACATACTTCATCCCATCTATGGCATGCTCAGAAAACCAGTGAAGATGAAATTGAACGAAGGTGTAGTTGCCTCGGAGTGGTCCACCCGACAATACCGGAGCACCCGTGTCTTCCTCCAACGTCCATTTTACTGCATAAAAACTCATATTATAAAGCATAACACGCAATAAATCATAAATGTTTTAAGTAGTAAAGCAATGCTGTAGCTATGTTATAGTAGTAATACGAATGGAGCGGCTCGACTGCAGTAGGACCACGCTCTCACAAAATGCCAGCGTACAATAACAGCTTAATGCTGCTGTGTTTCGTATGGTGAGTGTAGAGAACCAGATACCCTTTTTACTGGAAAAGAGACATTCCATCGTAGTCCTCAGAGGTGACAACGCATCTGCATTTCGTTTCTTAATCGAGGATAGATGTAAATGTCCGCCGCATCTAGTTATCATCAGGTGGACTGTGTGCTCGTTTTTCACCATCACATTAAAAAAAACATGACCTGGACTAGCTACTGCAACCCATAGTCACTTGAAACCAACTTTAAGCAAAGATGGCTACAGATGCGTTATCACCTCTGAGGACTAAGGTGGAATAACTCACAGTCCAAAATTAAACTGGCTCTCTATAATTTCAGCATGGAAGTGCGATGGAAGTGCAAGCACTGCTGCTTGGCGGTAGACATAGGTAGACATAGGTAAAAGGGTGGTACCTACTCATACAGACTTTTTTATATAAAATGGGGGTAGCAAACGAGCACACATTCCCTCTGATTATAAGTGGATACGGTGGCCCATAGACATCTGCATCTATCCTCGATTAAGAATCAAAATTTAGAGGCGTCACCTCTAAGGACTACGATGGAAGCATCGTTTCCAGTAAAAAGAGTCTCCGGTTCTCTCTACACTCACCATACCAAACACAGCAGCGTTAAGCTGATATTTTACGCTGGTATTCTGTGAGAGCGTGGTCCTTCCCGGTAGAGCCGACCCATTCGTGCTGCAACCATAAGGTGGCTGCTGCGTGGCCCACCACGTAAGACTGCTAGGGAAGATAAGGAGTCCTACCACAACCTATAAAAGTACAATCATGATCAGATCAAGATCAGATCAAATCACGTCCAGCAGTGGACTTCAGCGGGTTGTTGGTGAAGAAAAATAAATCAGTGGCGCTTTAAGAGGGATTTTTTTTATAGAATTGGAGTGACAAACGAGCACACAGTCCACCTGATGGTAAGTAGATACTGTAGCCCATAGACATCTACATCTATCTTCGTTTGTGAATTAAAATGCAGATGCGTTGTCAGCCGTGAGGACTAAGATAGTATGCCTCTTTTCCAGTTAAATAGGTCTCCGGTTCTCTTCACTCACCATAAGCAGTATACACAGCATCAGCTGTTATTTTACGCTGGTATTCTGTGAGAGCGTGGTCCTTCCCTGGTCGAGCCGACCCATTCGTGCTACAACTATACTGTTAATATAGCTGCGGCATGGCTCTACCACGTCTAAAACGGTTTGTTAACAGACAGAGTAATTGTCAGATCCTGATAATTATTTGATTTTATCCTGTTCATCCTGATCAGGACACTAGTATAAAGTTATTTAAATAATCTATAGTCATCGGTCCCTGATTAGAGTGCAAATTTTGAGTTTTCAGCAACTTGTAGACTTCAAAAAAAATTTCTTTAGATAGATATACCACGTGGTAGAGCCATGCTGCAGCTATATTATGGTTGTAGCACGAATGGGCCGGCTCGAACGGGGAAGGACCACGCTCTCACAGAAAACCAGCGTAAAATAGCAGCATAACGCTGCTGTGTTTCGTATGGTGAGTGTAGAGAACCGGAGACCCTTTTTACTGGCAAAGAGGCATTCCATCTTAGTCCTCACGGGTGACAACGCATCTGCATCTTGAGTCTTTATTGCGGATAGATGTAGATGTCTATGGGTCACAGTAACCACTTACCATCAGGTGGACTGAGTGCTCGTTTGTCACCCCATCCTATATAAAAAAGAAACTATACTGTTAATATAGCTGCGGCATGGCTCTACCACGTCTAAAACGGTTTGTTAACAGACAGAGTAATTGTCACATTCTAGTCGCGTTCTCTGACCTTGCTCCCTGTTTAATAATATTAGATTTTAAGAAAACTTAAACAACACGCATTGATCTTGAGTTGTGAAAACCTAGTGCGTATAATATATATTGTCATTGGTCCTTGATACGAGTGAAAATTGTCAAATCAATCGGACATCTACAAGTTGGTGCATATTACATTAAAAGATTCTGTTACAATGCAATTTTCACTGTAATTTTCACACACAATTTTACGCGAAGCTGTTCAAAGCTTGTTAAGTAATATAAGAATGTAAAATAATAATTAAAAATTAAAATTTTTGTACAACCTACTTCAATGTAAGTTATTAAGATTAACTCAAATTTATATGGGACAACATGAGAAGCACCAGCTTTCAAATAAGAAAAGAATCATCGAAATCGACACAACCAGAAAAAAGTTATATACACATATAATAACATACAGTCGAATTGAATACCTCCTCCTTTTTAAATCGGTAGAAAACTTAAACATCGCATTGATCGTGGGCTGCGACGATACTGATAATTATTTGATTTTATCCTGTTTATCCTGATCGGGACACTAGTATAAAGTTATTTAAATAATCTATAGTCATCGGTCCCTGATTCGAGTGCAAATTTTTAGTTTTCACCAACTTGTAGACTTGAAAAAAAATTTCATTAGATAGATAGATTATCTATCTATCTACACGCGAAGCCTATAAAAGCGTGTTAAAAATATCTTATAGACTAAACATCGTTTAATTTACTTACATGTTCGCCCCGTGTTGGCAGTTCTTAGGTTAACATCTCCGTATCCTCGAAAGACAAGTGGCCCTCGAATATGAGTTTGGAATGTATCAACGATCGCGCTCCTGCTCATAATGTTGATTGGCGATTGTAGGCCGCCATTTCTGCATTGCTTTGGCCATTGCGTTTCGTCTAAACAAAAAAATTAGTCAGTAAAAATGTTTGTTTATTTTAAGAAAACACATAAGCGGTAGAGCCACGTTGCAACTATATACAGAGAATGGTCACGCTCTCGCAGAATACCAGAATGAAATAGCAGTCTAATGCTGCAGTGAGTGCTTGTGCTTTTTTTACGTGGTAGAACCATGCTGCAGCTATATTAGTAGTATAGTATTTGTACCACGAATGGGTCGGCTCGGCCGGGGAAGGACCACGCTCTCACAGAATACCAGCGTAAAATACCGGTTTAATGCTGCTGTGTTTCGTATGGTGAGTGTATAGAACCTGAGACCCTTTTTACTGGAAAAGAGGCATTCCATCCTCACGGGTGACAACGCATCTGCATTTTGATTCGTAATCGAGGATAGATATAGATGTTTATGGGCCATAGATACCACTTACCATGCGGTGGACTGTGTGCTCGTTTGTCACTATTATTCATAATGTTATAAATAATAAAAATAATGGTGCGGTGCCATGGTGAGTGTAGACAACATACAAAAGAAAACTACTTCTACTTCTACTTTTAGTTTCTAGTATATGTATAGTTGGAAAGGTGTCAACGAGAGACGTGTTGGTCTATCTAGGACTTTAATAAGACTACTGTCTTATTCTGAACTTAACACTGAGATATAATATTGTCGTGGGGGCTACACTATACCTGACGCCAGCGGCGGATATTGTGTATTGCTACAAAAAATCACACTGGTATACTGCGCGAGCGTCGTCCTTCCCCGATAGAGCCTGCAGCCAAAGTAAAGTTGTTGTGTAATTAGCAAATTAAAATAAATTGGAATTTGATAGAATTGTCTTTTAATATAAGCAACGTCTATTACTGCGTGGACCTTTGTCGACCAAGCCGACCCATTCGTGATGCAAATACAAACACTCTACCGCGTAGAAATATTAAATACCGGATATGTAGGTACTCACATTTGTAGGACCATTCCGAAGAAGATGTATCACAATTTGCAAAACCTGAAACAATGAGAATCACAATTAAAACAATGAAACTTGAAACAATCAACTTGTTTGAAATTTTTTCTTTTTGTTTGTCTAAAGTTGTGTACAACTTTTTATGAATTAAACATTATCAAAATTAAATTTGCTTCTCTTTTTACGTTTAAGTGACCTTTTAACCTTTGAGTTCAAAAAAAAACTATTTAACGCATCTGCATTTTGATCCGTAATCGAGGACAAATGTAGACATCTATGCGCCACAGCAATCACTTATCATCAGGTGGACTGGGTGCTCGTTTGTCACCCTTAACCTATATATTTTTTATATTTTATGTCTTTGTGTACTTATGTATGTATGTATATGTATTAAAGATAATTGTTATATATGGATTATCATGTATTTTTTTGTATTCATAATATGTATTTGTGTTATTTACAAGCTTCATTTTAATATGTGTTATATCTATTTATATTTATTATACATAGTTATTTAAGTCATTTGCCACAAATTTTTCACCACGCTATGAATTAACTAACAGAGAATGCTAACTGGTATTAAGTCTGCCCTTTGTAACCTTTATGGACTACTTAACCTAGTATAGTACAATTTAGTTTTAAATAAATAAATAATAAAAAATAGCATCTTCTTTCTTCTTTTTTCCTTTTTTTTCTTTTACCCGCGGCCCTTGGTGCTGCAGCTTATCGCTAAGCCACGGCAACACGGAGCCGTCATAGCTACCATTTTAATATCATCAGTTTTAATAAAAAGTTAAACTGCTCCAGTCAATCAACAATTACTCAAACTCCAAAAAAGTCAAAATTGCCCATACTTCAGTCAAGTGCAAATTAAAACTTTAAAAGTAAGTTGTTTAAAAACAAGACTGATCACGGTTATTCTAATCACGGTTGTGGGTGAAAACTTCTTTGCCCAATTGTTCTTTTATAAGTTTCAAATTGGTACTTAGAATATATTATCGCCCACAGAATTAAGTTTTTTCAAGTTGATTTTGTTTTTCTTTTTTAATAAAAAATGGAACTTGAAATTAATCACAAAATAGTGGAGAAAACGCGAAGTGCCCACACTCATGTTTTTATTTGGCCGTTGCCCTACACTCTCATCATGCAACAACTGCAAATTCGAGAGTTTTGATTTGGTGTAGTGATGCTAAGAATTTTTCGGTTGTAAATGGTTTCATATACTCTCTATTGAAATTAGGATGTTATTAAATCAATTGTTAGTCGGTGCTAAGACATAGTGTTAGAAGAATTTAGGGTTCCACGCAAAAAAATGAAAACCCATGAAATCCAACCGCAATAAATTCCACGAACGAAGTCGCGGGGAACAGCTAGTATTTTATATATTTTTAGTTCATTGACGTCGCCTCATACTTTTTAATTTTTTTTATGCCCTATAACTTTCCTAATTTGTGATATTTTGTCTTCAAATTTACACTCCTGCAGTATATTAATAAAATTATCATTATTATGTTGTATCTCTAAACTTTTCTCATCTGGTTGGGCAATATAAATATATAAATGTAAATAAACATAGTAAACGTACATAAATATCAATTGAATAAAATAAATACATAAAAATACATAAATATATTTAAAAAAAACCCAACCAGATGGAAGCCCTCGGCAGGGGAGACCAAAAGGGAAAGAAACCGGCGGACGATGCGGCTGGTATCGAGGAGCACCGCCTTCTGCATTTGAGCTTGGAGCGGTCCGTCACGGAGTCCCAGTCGCCTCAGATGACCCGAGACGCTGACTGAAATTAACCCGTTCACAGAGACGACTACAGGTATAATTTCGGACGGCAATCCACCCCACATGTCAGTCACCTCGTGAGCCAGGTCCAGATATTTTGTCAGCTTATCTGTATCGGCTTTCACGAGGTTCTCGTCATAAGGAATGGTAATGTCGACCAAAAATATCCTTGACTGTGCCCGGTCCATCAGCACAATATCAGGCTTATTCGCAAGAATAGTCTTGTCTGTGATGATGGCCCGGTCCCAGTAGAGCCTGGCGCGGTCATTTTCGAGCACAGCTTCCGGCAAGTACTTATAATACGGCAGTTTCCGATCCACAAGACCGTATTTCAGAGCGAGCTCCTGGTGCAGGATCCTGGCTACTAAGTTGTGTCTGTGCAAATACTCAGAGTTAGAAAGCGCCGAACAACCGGAGATGACATGCCTAAGTGACTCACCGAGATGGCGACAAGCTCGACAGATGTCGACGGTGCCGACCTTTAGGATGTATCTCCGATAATTGTTGGTCTTAATAACCTGATCCTGTATCGCACAAACAAAACCCTCGGTTTCCCCAAAGAAGTCACCTAAACGTAGCCAGTAGAGGGAGGCGACTGTGTTTACGAAAGGCTCGTGTAGAGCCTTGTAAAACCTCCCGTGGAGCTCCTTCTCCTTCCATACGGTCTCCCGGTCGGAAATGCTCTGTACTGCCGTGTCTTGCCATTGCCTGTTGGCTAAGGATGAAGGGGTAAGTCCTTTATCACAAGAAATAACGTCCCTATAGAATGGATCATCCGCTCTCGCCAGAAAGTAATTACGGAGGCTGCATACTTCGCGATTATGCATGGTAAGCGCGCTTAAAAAGTCGCGCCCACCATGTTTCCGCGGCAAGTACAGCCTCATTACCGACGATCTCGGATGATGCATCCTGTGGGACGTCATAATAGTGCGGACTTTTCTGTCCAGAGCGTTTAGTTCAGTCTGAGTCCACCTGAGTATGCCAAATGTATACATGAGAACAGGCATGATCCAACCATTATATGCGTGTGTCTTATTAACGCCCGACAAAATACTGTTAAGCACTTTTGTCAAGCGTGCATAAAATACATCGCAAACTGAGTGCTTCATACCCGCCTCATCGACACCGATGTTCTGTGACATACCCAGGTATCGGTATGTTTCAGCCTCGGAAAGGGTCCTTATGCTGATGGGCACAGATAAGTCCATGCCCTCAGAGTTAGCAACCCTTCCCCTTTCGACATGGAGGATCGCACACTTATCCGTCCCCAGCTCCATTCTAATAGAATTGCTAAAGTCACAACTGATGTTTAGCAATGCCATACGATGGGAGCGACTGGAGGCGAATAACTTGAGATCATCCATATAGAAAAGGTGGGTCACTTTTGTACCTCCTTTTCGAAGCTGAAATCCCCTCCCGGAACCCTCCAGTAAGGTACTGAGAGGGTTCGGAGAGAGGCAGAACCAGATTGGACTCAAACAATCGCCCTGGAAGATACCCCTTCTTATCCTTATGTGGCTCTCCGCAGCCGTCATCCGCTCGCCTAGATGACAAAGGATCGTACTCCACTGCCCCATACACTGCCCGAGGAAGTCTTGAACTGTACAGTCAACCTTGTACAGCTCAAGGACCCTCTAAGCCATGTATGAGGCACCGAGTCGATGCCTTTTTGTAGTCTATCCAGGCGGCGGAGAGGTTCAGACGGTTGCGTTTAACCACATTGCCAATGACCGCGTCAATGAGGAGTGGTTCCTTGGTTCCACGACCACCGCCCCGACATCCATTTTGAGCGCGCGACATCACCTGATTTGATATTATAATAATAATTATTATTATTTATTATATTATTATTATTAAATATATATTATTATATATTATTATTTATTATTATTTTTTTCTTTTCTCTTTTTTTTCTCCATGTAGGGTATTATGATGATACGGGCTTTAAGCCAAGTAGTCATCATTTGCTGGTATTATTAATGTATTATCCAGAGCAGTTTCTGGGATTTGTAAGAATTTTCGCACTAAGCGACATGTATTTAAAATAACTGCTTTCTGTACATAGTTAAATCTGTCTCTAATTTCGTTACTAAATAGTAAGTACGCATGATAAAACAGCGTACTCTTTCTTTACCGGCTTTGGTGGACGCAGGAAATAAGACGTTAGCCGCCTGCGCAACATCCATAGCTGGTTTATCTACAAAAGAAGGTGATGTTATACAACGTGACAGATGACAATTTCGCTTTGATCTCTTAGAATCGGCTGTAATATTTTTATCGGTGGGAGCCCGCCTGCTCAACTCCTCACCGCCGATGGTTCGCATGCTGGAGCACCCAGCATCGGCTCCAGGTGCGCCCCGGCGATCGCCCCCGGGAAGCGGCCCAATTATACGATTTCTTAATCTTCTCTCCATAATAAATCTATACGGGTCGGGACCGTTAGTTCGACATCATTGTAATTGCAAGGTGTTATTTGCATCTGAAAAGTCACTACGGGATGTCTTAAGCCCCCCCACCACGGCAAGGTGGTCTTATTTATTATATTATTATTATTATTATTATTTATTATATTACAAAATAATCGTCAAAATAGGTTCAAAATAGACAAAGATAGCGTAACATACATAGCAAAAAAATATACAGTGGATTTGTAATATTTTTTGATGTCGCTTAAAAATAGAAACAATTATTTATATATTTTTTTATAGAATATGGGTGACAATCGAGCACACAGTCCACCTGATGGTAAGTGGATGCTGTGGCCCATAGACATCTACATTTATCCACGATTAAGAATAAAAAGTTTTCTATAGAAGTAAGTTGCTGTCTGGATTATAGTTTTTCTGGTCGTTTCCCGTTTTACCGCTTTACTTTTAATGTTTGGTATCCTTGTTTTCTTCTCTACCAGTTCTTTTAATGCTTTTTTGTTTTTACGCCATGTACGTCGCATTTGTGGACTAGAGTAAAGCATGTGATTCTATTAAACATGACTCGTTTTGGAGGCCACTAATCCAGCAAGGTGTGCCAATAATATATATACGTATAATTAAAAATATATACACGAATAACATAGCGCAAATAAAACTGGAAACCGTCGGTGATGAGTTTCCAATAGCTAGAGGGGTGAGGCAAGGAGATCCGCTATCCCCAAACCTTTTCTCTGCAATCTTGGAAAGCATATTCAGGGATCTCGAGTGGGACAATTTTGGCATCAATATCAACGGCAGGCAACTTAACCATTTAAGATTCGCTGATGATATAGTCCTCATAACTGACAACGCTAAAATGTTCCAACATATGCTACAACCGTTGACGAAGGCAGGCAGAGTAGTTGGCCTTACTAAGAATAAATCAAAAACAAAAGCAATGACAAACGGGGAAGAAATAGCCATAAAACTAGACAATAAACATATTGAATATGTTAAAAGCTATACATACTTAGGGCAATTATTACCATTTAGAGATCAGACAGACATAGAAATAGAAAGAAGAGTAGCTTGTGCTTGGAAAAGATACTGGTCTCTTAATGAGATATTTAAAAGTAAATACTTTCCTATGGCAGCCAAGAAAAAAATGTTCAACTCGTGTATCTTACCATGTCTTACATATGGATGCCAAACTTGGGCGTTGAATCAGAAACATGTTTTAAAACTGAGAACATGTCATATGGGAATTTAAAGAAGTATGTTGGGCGTGACGCCAAAAGACCGCAAGAGAACAGAAGATATTAGATCTACAACAAAGGTGAAAGACATAATAAAGAAATATAGTTAATTAAATTGGCGATGGACAGGACACATGACAAGAGACAGCAGGGTAAAAAGGACGAAAATCATAACGGAATGGCAACTCCATGATGGCAAAAGAAAAAGAGGCAGACAAGCAAAAAGATGTACAGACGATATCAAGATTATTGGAGGAACAACCTGGTCAAGAAAAGCTAACAACAGAGAAAAATGGGAAAAACTGGAAGAGGCCTATGTGTCACAGGAGACGCTGTCTACTAAACTGGGAAATACGGTATTCTAGACTATTATTAAGTTACAATCATCTACTATGTAAATTTTTTTTTATAGAATTAGGGTGACAAACGAGCACGCAGTCCACCTGATAGTAAGTAGTTGCTGTGGCCCATAGACATCTGCATCTATCTTCGTTTGCAAATTAAAATGCAGATGCGTAGTCAGCCTTGAGGACTAAGATAGAATGTCTCTTTTCCAGTAAAATGGGTCTCCGGTCCTCTACACTCACCATACGAAACACAGCAGCATTAAGCTGCTATTTTACGCTGGTATTCTGTGAGAGCGTGGTCCTTCCCCGGTCGAGCCGACCCATTCGTGCTACAACTATACTATTAATATAGCTGCAGCATGGCTCTATCACGTAAGATATTATATTGTTTGTACTCGTATCAGCAATTGAGGCTTAATAAAAAATAAAGAAACGAAATGCCAGATGCGTTATCGACCCTGAGTACGAAGATGAAGTGTCTCGTTTCCAGTAAAAAGGGATATGTATTTATTTTTTTCTCATTCATTCATGGCAGCACTTCACAAGTCAACTAACTGCTGATCACAGGATTTTTCAAAGGAACGGCACCAAGCGTGGTCCTGATATTTACGATTACCGTTACCGTTACAAGCCACCTACCCCGATTAAAGTCCACTGCCGAACATAGGCCTCCCCCATAGAATCTCTCATAGGGGGGATATTTGCCATAGTTGTAATGTTACCGTTGATTTGAAAATTTCACCGCTCAGTGGGTCATGTGCTCCTGGTAGATTATCTTCTATACATCCATAAATTACAGCCTGTTAATGTCCATTCCTAAACATAGGCCTTCCCCGTAGAATCTTATATAGGGGGATATTTGCCATAGTTGTAATGTTACTGTTGATTTGAAAATTTCACCTCTCAGTGGGTCATGTGCTCCTGGTAGATTATCTTCTATACATCCATAAATTACAGCCTGTTAAAGTCCATTCCTGAACATAGCTATGCCTTCCCTGTAGAATCTCTCATGTGGGGATAATAAATGGGGATATTTGCCATAGTTGCCACGATTGGCTAGCGGATTGGCTAGAGCAGTTTTTATTATTTATTTTTAGCCATTATTAGAAAGACGCTGTTGCCCATCACCTGATTTGTTGGATCGGGATGATAAAGGTTGGTGGATATTCTTACATCGCCACTACAAGGTACGTTTTATGATTATTATAAATATAAATATATAGCTTTTATTTTTTGGTGAAATATTTAATAATTATCTTTATATACCATATAATTTTTAGTTAGAGTTTAGTCGGAACAGACAGACAGACAGACAGATTGACAAAAAATTTAAAAATTGTGTTTTTGTTATATGTATCGTATATAATTTCATATGCATTTAGTAAAAAGGTGTTATTTTGGCATTACAAACAGACATTTCAATACATGTATAGATTTGCTTTTTTTAAATACCTAAATTATTTTTACATTTATATTATATTACATTTTATATTTGTCACTTATATATTAATTAATCATAACCATTATAGCACATTTCTTTACATAACATAATGTAAATATACAATGTTTACATACATTACATAAATATATAATGTTTATTACTACGAAAAAAAAACTAAATCGATCATATAGTAAATTTCATAAAGACACATTTAGTAAATTATCATAGTTTTATTCCCAGCGGTATAGTGCCAAAATTTGTCCTAAATGTATGTTGTTTGACCGTGTAATGGCGGTGTAAGAAAATTCACTACTCCATACTTTCCCGTGCTGGCCGTTAGAGGCGACAGAGGGAAACTAACCAGGAGATGGTCAACCCGCCAGCCAAACATAGCAACTATGGCATATTCCAACTATGAGGCTAACTATGGGGGAGGCAGTGTACTTTAACAGGCTGTAATGGATGGATATATAGAAGATAATCTACCAGGAGCACATGATGGGTCTGAGAGGTGAAATTTTCAAATCAACAGTAACATTACAACTATGGCAAATATCCTCCCTATGATGCAATCTATGGGGGAGGCCTACGTTCAGCAGTGGACTTTAATAGGCTGTAATGGATGGATATATAGGAGATAATCTACCAGGAGCACATGACCCACTGAGAGGTGAATTATGGCAAATATCCCACCTATAAGGTAATCTATGAGGATGCCTGTGTTCAGTAGTGGACTTTTAGATTACGATGTATATTCTTTAAGCATGAACCTTGTCGATTATTAGTATTATCATCACATATTAATCCATTTCCTTTTCAACCGACCCCAAAGAAAGGAAGGTTCTCTGTCTTGTTCATATGATTGTTATACTATTTACTACGTGATTTTTTCAGAAACTGTACGACCGAATT